AAACGTCTTCAAACTTGGAAACAAAGTCCAGTGGATTGATTTGAACTTTTTAAGCTCTGTGGTTCAAACAGTTCTCACTGGAACATTGAGAAGTTTAGAAATCCTTCTGGAAGCAATGCCATCACCGAGGTTACAGAGGTGTAGAGAAAGCTCTTTGCTTTCCCCATCATGAGATGTTTCCTGTGTGATTCCAGAGGCTCCTTTTTCTAGGCCATCCTTTGGGACTGAAGCAGCTGTCCATTTCTTCTCGTTTACAATACTTTTCCTCTGGGCCATTCCTCTTTATTCTACAGAACTTCATTCCTGGACATTTATGGTGTGATGTCTTTTGATGGTTGGATTGCATGGATTGTTACCAACATCTGGTGGAAATGTCAATAGCTCCTCCAGAAACAGATTCACTGAGGAGAAGGGAGGAGGGTTCAATACTGATTTAATCCTCTATATGGACAGAAGCAACAAATCATTTTGGAAAAAAGGAGAAGAAAGAAATAAAGGAAAAATTCCTCAGAAAAAAAAGATTCAAGTAAAAATTATCTTCAAATCTACTTTAGTTCTGGAAGAATTTATAGTCTGAGCATTAGAGGTTAAGGAGCCACAGGCTGTGATTCAGAGTGGGCGTGGCCTCTTGCCCGCTGCTCTCTGATTGGTCAGAAAGCTGTTGGTCCTCCAGTAGAGGGAGACAAAGAGACGTATGATTGGACAGAAGTTCTGGGTGTTTAACTGGGTCAGAACCACCATCTGATGGTTCTGGGGGAAAATCTGAAAAATCCTCAGAGTTGAACTGGGATTTGTGAAAACTGGAGAAAGGATAAAATGATAACTGGGTCCATAAAAAAGATGACCCGGTTCACCTTTGATTGCAAGGTCTGTTAGAAACCTCGTCTGGATGGCCAAACAGGACTGGGTTGCTCTCTGTGGGTTCCCCTGCTCTCCCTCTCAAACTGGGCCTACTGGAAAGGCATCTCTGATGCTTCTGCTTCTCTCCCTCCACAGTGAGAACCCGTGTGTGACTCGGATCCAGAACCGGGAGGATGAACTGGTCTGGACTGGAGAACCTCCTGAGTGGAGTCAACAAGTACTCCACAGCCTTCGGGAGGATCTGGCTGTCCATGGTCTTCGTTTTCCGTGTCCTGGTGTTTGTGGTGGCGGCCCAGAGGGTGTGGGGAGATGAGAGCAAGGACTTTGTGTGCAACACCAGACAGGTGAGCTGGAAGCAGACACACCTTTATCTGGGGGGTTCAGCGGGGACACTGGCCCTGCCGGATGAGCCGGACCGAGCAGAGCAGGAAGGCTGGGGCTGCTCTGCAAAACCTGCTTCCCTGATTAACCGGAAGCTCAACAGGAGAAATGTTCCCTAAATGTCCACCCTTCACTGAGGTTAGAAGAGGTTAGATCCTCTGCTTAAAGACACCAGTAACCAAGCTTGGTCCAACTGGACCCAGGAAGCTGTGACTCAACTCATTTTACTCTGAACCAGACCTTAATACTCAAACAGGATGTGCTTCTTTGATAAGAACCTAAAGCACCAAAGGTTAAAGTCACGATTCCTTTCTTTCTATAAGTGATTCCTGTCTACCCGGGTCAGCAACTTGGCCCACGTTAAATTCACCTCTCCTCGGATCGGCATGCTTTGGGAACACCAGGTCTGGCTCCATCCGCTAATGATCCAATTGAACTCAACGCATTGATGTCAACACATGGTGGCAGCTGATCTGATCTAATGAGCCCAAACAGCTCTGCTAGCATGCGATAAAAATGAAGCAGCTAAGGGAAAACAAAACGATAAAGCACAGTGGCTGCGACCTGGCTTCCTTCCATGTTGCTCTCCATTGTTTACTATCCTGATTTCTGTCACAGCTACCTGGAGGGGATTAGCAGGTCAACCCGTCTTTGAAAATGTTAACCTGCTAATGTCAGTGGGAAAGCAGCTACAACCAAGATGAGACTATTTTTCTTTTAGAATTTAATCCTATTTTTACTGGCAGCTTGTTGCATCTCTAGCAGAATTTATGGAAACTCTCAGACAAAGCCCAGTTTGACAGACATTAGCATTCTGGGAAACATCTGTCTCTTCTGAGGTTTTTCATTTCTTCTCATCCACTTTGTAGACACTTTTTCTCTTCCAACCCTTGGCCATTTTCAAAGAATCGCGGTGAGAAAGGTGAGCTTCAATGACTGGCCTTACGTAAACGTATCACCAGAATGATTGACAGTTAGGAGGACCACCGGTTGAGATGATCCACCTGGAAATAAAAGATCCTCCTCTATCACTTTAATTATAAGTTGAATGAGTCTAGGTTGGACTCCTAAAACTGGCTGTTAGAAATCCAGTTGTCTTTCATTAATTTAGTCATTTAGACTATGGCTATCCTCTGATTTATTAATCACCAACCAGATAAATGTGTCTCTGGATCATTTGGATGCTACTGAATGAAGAGTTAATCCGGAGTGATAAATCGTTCACTGTGTGAGACCACAGGTTGAAATACAATGGTACCTTTATTAACTACAGTCACACTGTATTATATCTAATAACTTAGCGAAACACTAAACACTACTGAAAATAAGCACAACAAGTGTTAATTTTGGTAAAAGTATAAAGTCAGATTGGACTGAAAAACTGATCAGCTAAAGGTGTTTTTCTGCGTTTTAATAAACTGCTTGATGTTTGCAGCCTGGCTGTACCAACGTCTGCTATGACCACATCTTCCCCATCTCCCACATCCGCCTGTGGGCGCTGCAGCTGATCTTCGTCACCTGCCCGTCTCTCATGGTCATGGCACATGTCAAGTACCGTGAAAGTAAGGACAGGAAGTACATGGCTCTGCACAAAGGCTCCCACCTCTATGCCAACCCCGGCAAGAAGAGAGGTGGTCTGTGGTGGACCTATCTAGTAAGCTTGGTCTTCAAAGCCGGATTCGACTCGTCCTTTCTCTATATTCTGTTTCGGATCTACCACGGATACGACCTCCCCAAGTAAGCCTGATTTACTGCCTCTGAAATGACAGCAGAGCTGTTCTTCGTTGGTTTAATCTCATCTACTTCATCTCTGTAGGCTTTCCAAGTGCTCCCTGTCTCCATGTCCCAACACCGTGGACTGCTTCATCAGTCGTCCCACAGAGAAGAAGATCTTCATGCTCTTCATGGTGGTGTCCAGCTCCATCTGCATCTTCATGTGCATTCTAGAGATGATTTATCTGATTGGCCAGCGGATCTTCAAAGTCATCCACATCCGGAATGAGAACCAGAGGATGGTTTTCGCTGACCAGCATGAACTGACTAACATCGCTCCCCCCAGGTCTCAGTACCGGAGGGCGGACCCCACCCGAGCTGACAGCCAGCTGAGTTTAAACAAGAGGGAGAAGGTGGGTGAACGGCAGAAGACTACGGTGCTGTAGCACCGAGCCGCTCCTCACTCAGACTGCTACTCAGGACCACAGACCCTCCAGATCTAATCGGGTTTCCTAGCCTACCGTAGTCTGTCCTCCATCTGCTGCTGTCCGCTTTCATTTCTGCATCCAGTCACAGCAACTGTCCTGGAATTTGCAGAGTCAATGACCTGGAAGCCACCAGGCTCCACCGGCTTCACCCAGAACCTCTAACTCCATTAATTCCAGTCAGTCACCAGTTCCCCCATCAGGACCGTTCTGATCCAAAACAAGATGGACGGATCTCTGAAGACCCGCTGGAGGAGAACCGCAGAGTTTTATCAATTTAACACGCTGGTTTATAAAGGTGTCCAGAATTAACTCAACTGGGTTTGAGGTTTTCAATCAGAATCAGAACCAGTTTCTGACCCAGAACCAGCATGGTCCTAGAGAAGGACAGAAGCTGTGCACTGGGAAGAAGCTGGTTACTCTGGCTGGTTCTGGGAACATTCCTCAGGATGGAATACTGTTGGTACTGGGTCGTCCTGCAGAACCAGAGTCCAGCATGGTTCTGGTTCTGTTAGGATGAGCAGAACAATGACCTCTGCTGCATCAGGCTCTGTTCCAGGTACCGAGTCCGACCCGTTAAGCCTCAGGTAGAAATACGCAGCTTCAGGGTTTATGACAGAAAATAATAATTATCAGTTTATTTAGATCAGTGTCTGTAAATGAGCTGATGGAGCTGAGATGTTCTACGGTTCATCTCAACAAACTGCTGAGTTTTTTTCTTTCAGTTTCACAAACTTAGCTGGAAAATGTTTGCTTTGATGTGCTGATTATGGACTGAATGTTTGTAGGAAACTTCTATTAAAATAAGACAAGCAGAAAAATGCTGAAAGCTGCTCCTCCGTGTTACCATGGTGATTCCCGCCTGTCTGAATAGCGCCCCCTACTGCATCGACGGGGCGCTATCTTTTCACAATTGTTTAATTCTGTAAATTATCCATTTTTTTTCTATACTTTTTTCATTAAATATGTTTATTTCAAAGCTGAAGCCAAATAAAGGATTTAATTTATTCTCTAATTTAATGTTTTGTACATTAATGCTTGGTTGTCTATATAAAGTTCTGATAAACCATAAAAAACTAAATTCTCTGAATTAAACTGGACCCAAGTTAGATCTTTGCACTTTAAACCTGATTTCATAATCCTCCCCTCCATAAACTGACAGCTGTTAATAATTATTCACATGAATATCTCCACATTAAAGATCACAGATTTCCTGATGACAGAAAGAAAACTCCTCATCGACTCAAACATTCAAGGTGACAAACGTTGGTTTATTGCTGCAACGCTGAGGTCTGATCCACAGGGCAGGTGATCGTCCTCCTGGATGCAGGCATCAGAGCTTGATAATGTAAACCTCCAAGTTTATAACTGGGATCCGTTTACAGATTTCCAGGATCTGGCTGTTCTATATCTCTACTGCACCAAACAGTCACTGATAGATTTCTGATCAACTTTAATTATTGGGTTGGAGTGGAAAAAATTCCTAATATACACGACCAGGGACAGGGACTAAGATTAGCACCGGGACTAAGGTTAGAACTGGGACTAATGTTAGTACAAGGACTAAGGTAAGCACTGGGACTAAGGTTAGCACCGGGACTAAGGTTAGCACTGGGACTAATGTTAGTACAAGGACTAAGGTAAGCACTGGGACTAAGGTTAGCACCGGGACTAAGGTTAGCACTGGGACTAATGTTAGTACAAGGACTAAGGTAAGCACTGGGACTAAGGTTAGCATCAGGAGTAAGTTT